ATCCTTCCCTTTGAGCTCAAGCATGGCCAGGGTATGGGGTGAAGGTTTGGGGCTCCACTTACCGCCGATACCCTAGGCTATAAGGGGTCAGACCCTGCTATTTGGTGGGGTTCAGGGCCTGGTACTTGTAGGGCTTTGGGTTTAATGGCTTGGACGCTTGAAGCTTTAGAGCTTCCGGTTTCAGCCGAAGCCTTAGCCCGAGGCATGACCGGTCAACTGCAACGAACAACCATGCTGCTCCATGCTTACAGCTGAAGGTTGTTGGTTTGAGGTTTAAGACTCAGGGCTTCCAGTTTATGGTGTTTGAGGCTTAGGAGGTTTAGGGTTTAGGGTTCTGCTTGTGGTTAAGAGGACTCCGGTTCTACCCTTGTTGAAGACACCCGAAACACCCAGACGCGCGAAAACCGACAACGGTTCAACGATTGGAATAAGGTGTTGGTGCCTGATTGCAATGATATTGGGACCAGCAGGGGAAAGTGGCATACTCACCGCTCCTATGAGTTTCCATGAATACCGATGAGGATTAAACTAAACTTGCGATTATTCAGTACTTTCCCTGTCAAACACCTCGCTTTCCCGAAAGTGCTTGCCTGCTCCAGGACAGCTTGAAATGCCCGCCACAGGATCAGCCTTATTCTCCGCAAGCTTTTTCTGGTGACTTATCGCACTTGTCTGTTCGTTGCGACTCTCTGTGGGCTTTTGCTGGGCCTTCGGTGTATCGACGGTTTTTGGCCCCTGGTGTCAAATGGCTCTTCGTCCTCGCCCTGAAACCTAACTTCTCAGCTACTGGGGCGATGGCTCTTGGGATCAAAGCTTCGAAGCTCTGGGGATTAGAGGACTTAAGTTTGGGGTTTAGGGTTCAGGGTTCCGGGTGTAAAGTCCATCCGCCCTCAAAACCACTCACGTGTTCGGTTGTTGAGTCGTTGAAGGTGCTAGGGTTGATTCATTGGTTCGAGACATACTCGGCACAACAATCAGAGGCCAGCATGTCGGATTTGGGGTTTAGGGTTTAGGGGCTGGGGGTTTAGGGCTTAGGGTTTAGGGGGATTTAGGACTCCCTTGCCACCCTTCATTCCGCCAGAGTCTCTGCCTCAGAACTCATGCAGGGGACTCGAACCCTCAACCCTCAAAGCCCACACGAAAAACCCTGAACCCTAACCCCTCAAACCCCAAACCCTCCGCACCAAATCCGGACCAGAGGCAATGCTTCGTTGGCATTGCGCGCACGGCTGGAAGCCTTCTATCCGCTTCGCTAGGGATGGTTACTGTGGTAATGAACGGTGCTGTTGGTTTTGGTATCAGTGTCGCTGCTGTTGTCATCATTGACGCCAGTAGTGCATCGGGATAGGAAGGCCATCATGAACATCACTTTGAAGTCACAGTGCTTTGTGTTCATCCTTCGGCGGATGACTGGCGAGGATTGTTGGACCGCTCGGCATTCCGAGTAGGGTGTCGGAGTTTAAAGACACAGTGGCTATAGAGTTTAGTTGTCTTATAAGCCGGCAACCTTAAACCTTAATACCTAAAGAGCCCAAAACCTTACGGCCCAAGAAGCCCCCGCCACCCCGAAATCCCTAGAATAGCCAAAAACCCTAAACCCTAAACCCTAAACCCTAAATAGAGTAGCCAATTTCAGGAGGCCTTTAAAGTCCCTTACACCCCTCACTGCTCCGACAACCCTGTGAAGACACCCGCATCTCATCCGTCTCCCAAGTGAATGCTAGGGTTTAGGGTTTAGGGTTTAGTGTTTAGGGTTTAGGGTTTGTGGTTTAGAGTTTCGATCACAGGATCAGCTGCATTTGGAGTCTATGTGGGGGTTCCTCGGTTATTTTCTGAAACTCCCCTGTCTCAGCTTCTTGAATGGGCGAACATCAGAAGTCGAGTCACGCGGTTCAGGCTTGAGTCTGTTATCTTGGGGCTTTACCTTACTAAAATCATTTGCATTCAATACAGGCCAAAAGCCCGATAAAACTCATTATCTCAGAATCGAAAGGATGGACCTAGAGCAATGCGCCTCTGCCACGCCGGTAGACAGGGTCTGCATAATTAGAATACTGTCGGGTTGAGGACGGCAAAACCATAGGAACTACAACGGGATGCCATTACTTATTTTGAAAACCCTATTACGCCTTCGATCTCTTCGGCTTGGGGCTTCCGCGGTTCATCGACGGCTCCTTGCATCGCTAAGTCACGTTTTGAAATTTTAAGGGTCGGCAGCCCTAAACCCTCCACCCCACAGGCTCAAGACCTACGTCTAGGGCATTAGGGCCTTAGGGGGCAAGAGCGTACGCCTCCTGGAGAACAGCGTGGAGGCCCTGGGAGTACACGAACATCGCCCGGTAGACACGCTCTTGCGCCTGTGAAAAGTCGTTGGGTACGTAAGGGCTTGAGGGTTTGGGATTTTGGGGTCAAGTTTTGACGCCACACAGTCGCCACAGAGCCCAACAAGAAGAGAGGGCTTGGTTGACCTTCGATGACTGAGTCTCTGTAACAAGGGGCTTGCAGCTTGGATGAAACCTGTGCATGTGCATGTATGCAATTTAGTTGGAACTACGAGTACAGCCAGCCAAATGTGTTTTTGGCTGCAAGCATCTTAATTACGGGTTTAGGGTCTAGGGCTTAGGGTAGATTGAAACCCAAAGGCCACAAGAAGGCATGTTTTTCCATGAAGAAAACATGTCTAACTGTACACTACTAGCGGGACGAAAATTTGCTTTCGGCTCCGCATCGTGCCAAGGGGTACTAACGAGAGCGCTTTGCGCCGTGTGCCTCCACCCAGCGTGCCGAAAGGCAGGAGCTCAAGAAGAAACTGCGCTGAACGAGGGCCGCTAAACTCAGCGCTCACTGGCATGGTCTCTAACTCTCATTTCAGGGTTCGCGACTCTGTCTTCCGCGTGCAGGCATAGCCAATGTGGCACCGCGCTACCAAAGATTCAAAGGTGCAGGAGTTGTGCTCCAGCGATAACACTTAAGCCCGAACCCTAACATGCCGTTGAAACTCCGGCCTGCCTTCTGATCGATGCCCAGCTTCGCCAGAGCGGCGGTGTCGATGCCGAACTCGGACATGCCCTGTGAGAAGGGAGGAGGGTTGAGGGTTTAGGGCCCAGCGGGAAGAGTTTGTTTCTCGCGGCTCTAGGACGTTGTCAATGTTACTGCTACGATATTGCTACGAGTGTCGTTCTTGTCCCAATCTTCACCGCTGTTGTCATTACTGTGGCCGGGTGTCGTCAATGCGGTTTACGGCTGGAGCTGAGAATGACAAGTGAGTTTGTTGTGTTGGTGCGATTGTTTTCAAGAGTTCCTCCTCCACCTCCTCCGCCTCCGCCTGCTGATGTCACTGCTAACAACTGCCACTGCCACTACCAATGCCGCTACGGCTACCGCTGCCGCTGCAACCACCTCCCTAAGCCATCTGAAAGTTGGACTTGACGCCTCTGAACATTCTACACATTGTCCAAAGCAGGACTCATCCTGAACGCAACGCTCTGAGTCCCAATCCCGAATCCAACGAAACAGCCGAAATCCTAGACATGAACTAGCCCAGAACCCTGAACATCCTGCCTTTCAGGCCCTTGACCTCAAGAACCGCACCCGGGACATAGGTCATGATGGGAAGCCATATTAATATTTGTGTATGTACGTCTGCCTGTCTGTCTGTCTGTCTGTCTCTGTCTCTGTCTGTATGTATGTATGTATGTATGTATGTATGTATGTAACTATGTAACTATGTCTGTATGCCTGTATGTATGTATGTATGTATGTATGTATGTATGTATGGATGTACGTATGTATGTATGTATGTATGTATGTATGTATGTATGTATGTATGTATATACGTATATGTGCGTGTATGTGTATGTATATTGTCTACTCGTTTATCTATTGATCATGATATTCGTTACTGCTACAGGATACTTATGACGCGGTTGCCAGTAAGACCAATTATTGACAATACTGTTAACAATGGTAGTGCCGACAATAATCATTACCTATCAGTTTTCTCACTATTGTTAGAATTGATACTATTGCCATCGCTATTGCTATTGCTATTGCTACTACTACTACTACTACTACTATTATTATTATTACAAAAACTATTATTACTAGTACTATTCTTCCTAGTACTATGGGTATTTCTGAAGTCTTGGGGGTTCAGACTCCGAGAGGTGGCCTGAGGCTCGAGCCTCTGGGCAGAAAACTTACACTTCGTCGTGTGCGTGGGCTTTCTGGTGGAAACCTGAACCCTAAGCCCTACTCTAAACCCTAAACCCTGAGCCCTAACCCTAAAGCCCCAAACCCAAAGGCCCTAACCTCAAAACCCTAAAACCCCAAAACCCCAACGCGCCTGAAAGCCTAAAACGGGTGGGACACTGGGGTTTCCACAGCCTTCCTCTTCCGCTGCAGCGTTGGAGTGCTCAGAGAGTCGCGCTTCGTGAGAGTTGAAAGGCTCACCATGGAAGGTAGGGTATGGGCCCATGGGGTTAGACCTTGGCACAGCTACAACAAGGAACCACTTCCCAATGTATAATTAATTTCGATATGTATTCAAGCCCCTGTAGTAGAAACATCGGTCTTGATCTGTGTCCCATATCAACTCTACCAAGTGTATTACAGAGGCGCTTCAACTTGTAGGATCGTCCAAAGGTCGAGCAACGAAAACCTACACGCACACCTGAAGTCCCTGGAAGTTTGCAGTAGTAGACGTCGTCGCAAGAGAGCCGATGTTTAGGGTGTTTTTCGGAACAAGGACAAATGGTTCAGAGGTTTCGCGTTTGGCTCTTGGAGGTGGCTTGGATAAACGTTCTAAATCCGGGAAAGCGCAGGCGAGGGAATCGGAGCAGCTAATATAGGGGTCTTAATCATTAGAATAGGGTTTTGGGGCCCATTATAGTTTAAATAGAATAATAACATCCACCCAAACAAAAATATATATATATATATATATATATAGGTTATGACTTAGGCCCCTATATTAGATCCACAACACCTTCGTGAGCGGCCTGCGGCCGGGTGATGTCTTTGAAGGCCTCACCCATGCCTTGGTCTTCAGGTTTCGGATGAGGGCCGCTGAGTTCCTAATGTACCGGGCCTTAATACTTAGAATAGGGGTAGGGTTTAGGGTTTAGGGTTTAGGGTTTAGGGTTTAGGGTTTAGGGTTTAGGGTTTAGGGGTTTCTTACACTGTAGTTATAATAAGGAACCCCCAGAGTAGTATTGGTAGTTATTTAGGCCCTTATCTTAAGTCATCCACATCTACAGTATACATACTGCCCCTAAGCGGTGCAGGTAGTGATCAGGTCTCAAGTTTTATCTGCAGTATAAGCTCTGGTCAAGAGTCAATGTAGACACAGGAACCCCCCTGAAATCCTGAACTCTAAATTTAAGGCCTCCCAATGGACGTAGCGACATCGGAGACCCCAGGAACTTTTGAACTGAACCAAAAGAGACAGCAGCCAATCTTGCCCCAGGTTTAGGGTTTAGAGTTTGGGGTTTAGGGTTTAAGGTCTCAGGGTTTAGGGTTTGGAGTCAAGTCTAGTTTATAGGGTCTAGGGCATTCTTTGTTCGATTGCTTGCGACTTGGCTTCTACTCTGGTGGGGCTAAGCTTTCATCTTTTGTGACTACATGGTAGCTGCATATGACCAATCAAAGATATGTCTGGTCCCGGATGTTTTTGTTGCGTTGCGTAGAGCTTGGGGTTTAGGGTTTAGGGTTTAGGGTTCCCTAAACCTTAAACCCTAAACCGCGGGGGGGAGGGGGCTCGGCCATGCTTTCGGGCGAAAAATACGCCGCCGAGCAGCGCTTCATGCCAAACCGCTGGCATTGGACCTGCCCAGCGAGTGCTTCTTTCCTCTGGCTTCTTGCAAGGCACCAGACCATAAATGCATAGCATGGAGGGGCTACTTACCAGAGTACTGATATTTAATATGTTTGGAAATAATGACAATCATAAACAGAAGAAATCGAATACTAATAACGACAACTATATATATATATATAGAAATATATAAAAATATATGTAGTCTCGCCACACTGCTAGACCCAGGAGTAACCTAGGAATGGAAAGGGTTCCCTTTTTGGTTTTAAGGGGATTATGAGGGAGCCCCAACCCTGAAAAAGGAAAAAAGGCCTACTCCGGGTCCTAGACTGTCAGTTCCTGTCGCTGCAAAGAAGCGGAGCTATCCTGAAGGTGAGGTGCCCGCGACTGAGACCAAACCTTCAGCTTGTCTTTTGGGACTAGTAACTGTGAAGTTGGTATCTTCCGGACCGATTCACCGCAATCAATAATAGTTTTTAGCAATCATAGTGACAAGACTGAAAATAATACCAGCAATGATAACAATCATAGTAAAAAAACAATAATCATAAGAAGAAGCAAAGAACAATAGTAGTACGGCCACCCTTGTATTACCAAGATTTCACCATTGGAGGTCACTGCGAGTTCTTCAAGACTCCACCGACGCCAGAGAGGTCACTGGAGCAAGGCCATGTCGGTGCTCCCTTCTGTCCGGGCTACCGGTTCAGGGTTTAGGGTTTACAGTTCGCTCGACGTCTTCATTACACCCTCAACCCTGCAACTCTAAACCCGGTACCCTATCCTTTGACCCCACCTGGGTCATCTCGTTTCATCCTCGTCCCTGAAACCCGTAACCCTATAGATCCCCAAATCGGAATCCCCAGTGCCCTAGTCGACTGGGGCCTTGCATTGCTGAAGGGACATCTTGATCACGCCCTCCTTCTTGGCATGGCCTTGGTCGCCTCCATGAAGGGTTTAGGGCTTCGGGTTTAGGGTTTAGGGTCCGGGGTTTAGGGTTTAAGGCTTCGGGTTTAGGGGCCTTGGGGTCGAGGAGCTTTGGGAGGAGGGGTTTAGGCCTGGACAGGGATTTCTTCACATATCCTCGGGTCGGAATTGCCTAATGTCGGGGCCTAAATACGTACCAATACTCTTTTTTTTTGGGGGGGGGGTCCTTATTATGATCATAGTATAATTGGCCCCAAAACCCTGCCCTTATATTAAATTAAATAATTATGGTGGGACGAAACCTGTCGCTAAATCCTCGACTTGGGCTTCGGGCGCCCTTTGACTTTGGGACTTAGGATCTGCGGCTCGGGTGCAGGATTCTAAAGAGTTCTAATCGTATTCGTAGAAGTAGAAACAATTAGGACATTAATGAAACAAAGGTAATAATGACAAACGCTAATAAAATATAATAACAACAGTACTAGCTGACGAAAAACGGGTAGGTAGTTGCAAAGGAAGCCTTGTGAAGCGCCATCCGCCGGCGCATCAGCCGTCTGGCAATGAGCGATGGAGAGGAACGTTTCCACACGAAGCTACATGACAGGCTCCCGGTATTAGGGAGACCCCTTAAAGAGGACCCTCCTGAACCCTTCCTATGGCTCTCCTCGAAGGGACCTTATTGAGAGGGTCTTCATCCCTAAGGATTCCCCTAATCCTGGGGGACCCTTGGGGGTACAGACCCTGTCAGTAAGGTCCGGTTTAAAGAGAGCCAGATGTAGGGTTAAGAAGGGTCCCCTTTGAGGGGTCTCCGGAATACTACCTAGGTATGTCCCTAGAACCGGTTCAGGGTTGTTGACAGCTCAGGTACCCCACAGGCTTGGAACGGTTCGGGAGAAGAGAAGGGTTTTGGGGTTTTGGTTTGGGGGCTTTGGGGTTTTGGGGTTGAGGGTTTAGGGTTTTAGGGTTTGGGGCTTAGGGTTTAGGGTTTTGGGGCTTTGGGGTTCTAGGGAATAGGGTGGAGGAGCAGAGGGAAAGACACCTGAAGCAGGGCCCGTCCTAAACCCTAGCGCTGAACACATGCAAGTTTGACATGGACAGAACGGTGCTTCAGGCCATATCGTTGTAAAGAAAACAAAACAAAGTGCAGTCGATGCAATGCAGGAGCAGAGCCCCTCGGTAATTGATGCCCCCTTTTCAGACGCGGACTAGTGGCTGCGTATCATAATCTTCTCTAAGTGAGGGGAGTGGGTAAATCAAGGGTCTGCTTCAAGCCACATCTGCAACCGAGAATGCCAAAACAAGGAATGGAATCACAGCCTGTAGTTCCAAAGATATAGTGTCGTGGGTTCAGACCTTTTACTCCGGAGCCCAAGACATCATGCAGAATCGTGACACTGCCTCGACGGACAGTGAAGCAGCAGTCAGGAAGATCTGAGCAGTCAGGGCTGAGGGATCATGTCTGGACCCTGCTAGAATCTCTATATATACTCTGGGTTTACGAGCTTGTATAGGGCTTTAAGGAGCTGTTGTCGGTCGGGCTGCTCTCACAAGTACGAAAGCACGCAAAAAGCTAGGCTGAAACGCCGAAACATGTTTGAGAGGTCTGGCTTCTGTCAGCAATAATGCCACACACGTGAGAAACTCGGATGAAGAACCCTAACTGCAGCAGCATGATTCCAAGGATGTAACCGCAGCTTCTTCGTACTTCCTGCATATTTGCAAGTTAGCTACGAAAAGCTGTGCCGACTTTCGACCCAATACAGCGGCAGTGTGGCATCTCGGGTGCTGCGTGTGCACAAGGCGACCTCCCGTATATTTTTCGGTAGCGATTGCCACATGAAGCCTGAAACAAACAGGGTGTTACTATAGGTTACTATGGGGGCATATACAGGCTCTGCTAAGGTTACTATAACGCTTCTCGACGGGTTACCTGCAAAGAACTCTGCCGGTTGAATCCTGACCGGAACCTGAGGCCCTCAGTGCGTAAATCGGCTTAGGATTTTGAGAACGGCCCCCCTGGAAGGGTTTAGGGTTTGGGGTTTAGGGGAGCACCAAACATGATTGAGTTTCTGTACATCTTGCCTATAGTCTATAAGACCGCAACACCAGAAGCCAAACATGTCCGAAGAACAAAATCAGCAACCTCTAACGTCTGTGCATCCCGAGCAGGAAGTTTCGGCCGTAATCCGTCCATCTCGCTCAAAAGGGCGCTGCTTGCATCCACCACTGCAAGAAACTATCACTTGAGATGCTGGCCGTGAAGGCTGTTAGCGCAAGCCTGAGAAACCAAGCAAACAAGGGAACAATGGCACTACAGGGTTTTATTACTGGTATCCCACACTACACCAAATCCCAAACCTACCAAGCGGGTAAGTGGTCCAGGAAAACCTTGTGATATCCAGCTTAGGCCTAAGAAGGCGGCTTCGGGGAATATTATACAATACTCATCGATTTATACCATGTGTTTATATATACACACATATGTATGTACATATATATGTATACATGTGTATGTATGTAGGTATGTATGTATGTATGTATGTATGTATGTACGTATGCACGTATGTGTCTAGGTGTATGTATATGTAGTGTGTATATATATATATATATGTGTGTGTACACATAAATACATAGAGTTTCCCGGTGGTGAGCCAACGAGCCCCACACCTGTGCGGAAGGCGCTTGGGAATGGCAGTATAGCAGTTGCACATAACACATGTGACTTAAAGTTTGTGGCGTTCGGTCCTCAACTTGGTTGACGTAAACGAAGAACCCAAAGCCTAGAGACCAAAGAGCTATGAACTCGATCTACAAATGCAAGCGTCTCAGTAGTGGTGCTGTGAAGCTGAGCACCGAGAAACGTGCGAAGATCTCGATGAAAACTACTTCCGCGTGTTGTGCAACTTCGACTCAGCCCCAAACTCTCAAGACCCAAGTTCGAAACCATAAGCCGGGGGTATAGACCAGCCGTGAAAACAAAACACTGTCAACACCTGAGCAAATGTTTGTCGTGGCCGGGCGTCCAAAGATGATCCTTGCACGAGACCAACATTGTTAACATAGGCCAAAGGCCCAACTAATCCAGTCCGAAGCCCAAATTGAAACTCTGTACGGCCATACTCTCCTGAACTTTGCAATGCTCACCCACATGCCCAATGTGCTATGCCTGCGAGATTTCGGCCACCTATCAGGGCTCTATAGGGAAATCGCATGAACCTAAGGGTTCATGAATTCATGAACCTATGCCATATACTTCGGCCTTCCAATAGGGATACACATAGGTGCTGTCTGGCCATTACATATGAGAGATGGATAGACCGACAGGCCGCTAGCTAGAGAGCTAGAAAGATAGATACATAGCTAGATAGACCTAAACATATATAAGTCATATGTATATATATATATATACACGCCCACACACATAAACAAATGAATAAACACACAGACACACACACACTCACACACACATATATATATATATATACATATATATATATATATATATCTATCTATATTGAGATTTCTATTTAGGCATATGGACCCTTGGGGAATCTGACGCTGAGGCCCTGATCCCGAAAACACACATCCTCCCCAAGTCCGACTGGAAAGATCTCCCAGCCCTGCCTCGTTGATTGCTTTTGGTGGTCTACTTGGAGGTTCATGGGTAATTATAAGTAGGGCTATAAGTCCCCAAATATGGGTTATAAGTATAGTTACCCTACTTATAACCCCACTTATAACTACCCATGAACCTCCAAGTAGTCTTGTCGGTGTAGGGTTCAGGGTTTAGGGTCGTAACCCCAAATAGCCTACCCGATTTTTCGAAACTTATATAAAGAAAGCACAAGAAGGAGCCTTAAACAGCCAGGCCTAAGAGGGTTCAGGTACAACATGCTATATCTCGAGCCCTGAACCTGCAACTACTGATCTCGAAGACCTACATGCTTAGATACGAATTTTGCAAACAAACTTTATCCCATGCACCCAAACCCTACCCTAACCCCATCCTAGCCTAGATCCTAAACCCTAAAAACTATAAACCCAAACCCTAAACCCAATCTCTGAGCCCGCTGCCGCACGAAGGCGTTCATCGTAGTTGCACGTAACTTCTTCGAAGACCTCAAGGGTTTAGGGTTTATAGGGTTTAGGGTTTAGGGTTTAGGGTGTTCAAAATGTTCCTTTCAAGCGGGTACTCTACGGCTCTATAATGGGGTCCCCTTAGAAGGGGTGTCATCAACTACGGGTTCTATAGTAGGACCCCGTCTACAGGGTTCCTTAGCTACCCCAAACATCCGTTTCTTTCAGGGTTTAAGGCCCAGGAGATAGGGAACACTCGACCTTACGGCAGATTTCAAGGCCACAAACCCCTATAGTCTCCATTGTAGTTCCTTTTTGGCTTAACCAATTATATTACATATTAAGGATTCTATAAGGTATCCCCCAAAAGGACCTATAGTCTCCATTGTAGTTCCTTTTTGGGGATACCTTATACAATCCTTAATATATAATTGGGTAAACCAAAAAAAGGAACTACAATGGAGACTATAGGCCGAATGGCTTAATGGGAAGCAAGTGCCGAGCGGCCGATTTTTTAAGCTCGCAGACATCGCCTCAAACGCATGAACGGTCTTCTTAAGCAAGCCTTCCTCTTTGGCAGCTCTAATATCGGGGCCTTAATGATTTAGAACACGGTTTTGGGGCCCACTACACTATAATGATAGTAAGGAACCCCATAATAGTGTAGGTAAGTATTTAGGCCCCCCACATTACCCCAGGGGCTAGGGGTTTCTTGGTTCACAGGGGGTGCTCAAAGCCCGAGACTGAATCCAAAAAATCTTGGGATCACAGGACTCTTCCGTAGTCCTGATTCCAGTTTCACGCTGCAGGGTGCCTGACTCATTAGGGTATGGGGGTATCTTGCAGTATACTTTACATAATATATATATATATATATGTATATACATATACACATTAGAAGGGACCTCAGAAGAAACGGTTTTCTTAAATTCAGGATCCTATAGCGCTGCAGTGGCGAGTGGAGTTAACAACACCAAGGAGGAAGCCTTGAATTGCATGGGCACGGTGCAGAAACCTCCGCAACGGGAGCCACACCGAAACCTTCGCAAAGCCCAGGTGCGTGCGGAGCCTTCATTTTTTTGGATCAGGGTTTTAGGTTTAGGGGTTGAGGGTTTAGGGCTTAGGGTTTTGGGATTAGGGTTTAAGATTTTGGTGCTTGGGATCAGGGCTTTAGGTTTAGGGATTGAAGGTTGCGAGGGCTTTTGGCTTGGGTTGTCGGGGCTTAGGGTTTGCAGGTTTATTGCTAATATCGGGGCCTTAATAATTAGAATAAGGTGCCTTTACCACCGGAAATTGTATAGGTAATTCTGTAGTCCTCTGCATCAAGGCGACGCTTGGGACCAGAATTGTCAGAATGGGTCAGGCTGGGACGACGCCCTTGGCAACATTGACATCCCACGTTCGTGGGACTGCGCTGTGCCCTTCGAGGAGAACCCGATGTAAACATGACAAGTTGCACTGGTTTTCCATTATATTGGATTCAGTGCGTCTGCAACGATGTTGGCGGAGTGTTGTGAAGCTCCACGAGATCTTTTCACTAGTACTGGTCCTTTCTTGGGAGAGCTAGCATTGTGGTTGCATGGACGGATAGAAGCTAGCTCCACTATCTACAAAACAGAAAGATGACAGGGAGAGTGAACGCATCATCTTCTGGGACGATGTTATATGAAGTTGGCTAATTCGAAATAAGCGGTGTAAATGCAAGATCCTCTTTATTCACTTCGAACTCTGCTTTCCTGGAATTGCTTTGGAATTTTCTATGCAAGTTGAAATCTATACCCATGTCTCCTCGACAAGGCGGCAGCAGCAAACATTATCAGCCACCGCGGCAAGACGCGAGGTCTCGTACTGCTTTCTCTACAGGTTTTGGCCTAGGCCTAAGCGGTAGGGGTATGGGAACAGCTCTTTCAAATCCCTAAGCTCGGAAGCGCAGAAAACCTACGATGAGGTCTGCGTGGGTGTGATGTCGATTCATGTGCAGACCTCACAGAACCTTAACCCTAAACCCTAACCCACTTTTTACATCCGAGGAAGATTCCTAAGTTTTAAGGTATCCGACGATCTTTTCATGTAAGAGCCTGGGGAACTCATAGAATGTGGTTTGGGGGGTATGGATGCTTTTTCACGAGGAACCTGAAGCAGTAGTATTACACATGATTCGCGTTGTATGCGGTCTGTATAAAGGTTTAAGGATTTGTGGTTAGGAAACTACGTCAGACTCGCGTCTCGCCCTTCTCCATCTCTTCGAACTGCTTTTCTTCGAACTCCTCCTCCTCGATATTCTCCTTTGAGCTTTTGGGGTCCCGGCGTTTTGGGCTCAGAGCTTGGGGACTGATTGAAGTTGGGGTGCCTACCCTATGTACCCATACAGTATGTAGTTGTAGATAGGAGCCGGGTCTGGTTCTGGGCCCTTACTTCTCAAAAGCTGGCGGAGCTCCTTCTCGTCGAGCTCCTCCTTCTCCTCCTCTTCGACCTCTTCCATACTGGACATCTGCCTGTCACTGTGGGGTTTAGGGAGTTCAAATCGCAAGGATCCCTAACTCTCTTTTTCAATAGCCGGGTCGGAACTTTTCCAATAGCCGGGCCGGAAAAAAGTTCAACCTATCCTTTCCAAAACAAACCAAGAACATTGGGCCAACAAGTTAACACGGCTGATGATATATATCCTGCCCACAGTAAGGCATATACCATAATTCCCATAGTTAGGGTCCTCAAGGTAATGCAAGACTTATAGCACCAACAGTAGTTCTCCCGTCCTTTATCTACGCCTTTCTGTAAACCCACGGTCACCATCAAGAATGACCCGGAAGCTGTCATGCAGGGGGCCCGAAACAACTTTAGGGTTTAGGGTTTAGGGGTTTAGGGGTTTAGGGTTTAGGGACTCTTCAGGGGGAACAGCAGTACCAATCACTCCGACCCCATATATTCTGTCTGCTGAACCCTATACCCTAAACCCAACCATTTGGGCGATTTTGCTTGGAGACTCAAAACTGGAAGTTTGAACCAGCTCTGGAAGCGGATAAAAAACGCAAGAGAGCTGGGTTTGGGATTCCCTCACTGATTCATGTCGCAAGGCTTCCTATCATGGTGTCAACGGCATTCTTATGCCTTTTGCCTGCTATTTTCAGGCTGACGGCCGTGTGGGGTTTAGGCGTTCTGGGTCCTGGGCCTGCGGGATGAAAGAGAGGGGTGGGAGGCTTCAGTTTCAAGAGCTGATCTCTCTAACGATGCAACATGATAGAGGCTCATTTCTAACGAACAATCTGGTTCTCGTGGAGACACTATATTGGAGGCGCGAAAAACAACTCAAGCCTCTTACTTGCTTTATAACTTTAGAACAGATATACTGTAGAACCTTGATAAGGCTACTCTTCTCCGACTCCTTGGGACAAAATACCGCTAAACACTACTGTACAACACCTTTACAACGTTGTTCAATACTGAACTTAGCCACAAACCTAAAACCTTACAAGCCCTAAACCCCAAAGACATCAAGGACTCCTGGGCCCCCTAAACCCGAAACCCTAAACCCCTAAACCCCTAAACCTAAACCCCTAAACCCTAAACCCTAAACCCCCCTAAACCCTAAACCTTGGGAGCGGCACCTGACTGCCAGGGTCTGGCGCATCGTTCTGCGTGTCTGGCGGAGGCTCTCCTGGCGCTGTACCTCCTGAGAAGTCAGGGGCTTTGGGATTTCGTTGGTGGTGGGTTTAGGGTTTAGGGGTTTAGGGCTAATGTAGGGTTTAGGGTTTAGGTTTACGGGTGTAGGGTTTAGGGTTTAGGGGTTTAGAGCTAGTTGGGTTTAGGGGTTTAGGGTTCAGGGTTTAGGGTTTAGGTTTCGGGGTTTAGGATTTAGTGCTTAGCTTAGGCTTGAGGATTGCTTGGGGGCTTACAATTTAGAGGGTGGTCCAAGTGTTAGGGTTTTAGGTTTCGGGTTTGAGGATTTCATTTGCGAGTGCGTGTGCTTGTTTCTAGTTTCCGCTGGGTTTAGGGTTTAGGGTTTCAGTCAGGGAAGGATTTACGGCTGGGGGTTCGGGTTTTGGTCTCTGCGTCGCTCAAGAAGAGGGCTTTGGCCGCCTTAGACGGCCAGGAGGGAGAGAAAGAAGGACAAGACAAGCCTTCTGTAGACAGGCTTTGACAGCCCATCGCCACGTGCACTCGACAACCTTGTCGCAACCTACAGCCGCCTCCGCGCTATTCCACGGCAAACCCCTAAGCCCTAAACTTCTAAACCCTGAACCCTAAACCCTAAACTCTAAACCCTAAACCCTGAACCCTAAACCCTAAACCCTAAACCCCTAAACCCTAAACCCTGAACCCTAAACCCAAAACCCCTAAAGCCTAAACTCTGAACCGCAAACCCAAAACCCTTAAAGCCTAAACTCTGAATCCTAGAGCCCCCCTCCCCCCCACCCAGAGGTCAGCTTCTTTAGGTCGTCCTTACAAGCTCCGAGACCAGGACGACGATATGGGGGTTTCCGAACATAGAAGACCCTAACATAGTACCCCAAATAGTAGGATCCTTATTATAAGGACCCCTTATTAAGGTACCCTAAACCCTAAACCCTAAACCCTAAGCCCTACCCCTTATTTTCGGAAACTCCCATATCTTAGACTGCTGTGAAGCTTCTCGTAAGGGTCGGTTTAGGGTTTATTGTTTAGGGTCTTTACAGCCCAGAGGCTTTCGGGTTTAAGGGGCTCAGGGTCTACAGTTTCAATGAAAGGTCGGTTTAGGGTTTAGGGTTTAGGGTATGGACTTGGGTTTAGTCTAAGCTTCTTCCCTGTCAAGGCTCACTACTGATGGCTGCAGGAAACGGGTATCGGACTCATGGATTCTACAGAAATCAATGTCCGGCCCGGTTTGGTCGATCGCCTTTGAACCGATATAAGCAAAAGATTTCGCATTATCAATAAGCAAAAGAGATGTGCATATATTATGTATATATATATATATACATTTATTTATTTCAGATTTAATAATAAGGATACAATAGCCGTTATGTGCCTTCTTGGGCTTATGCCAGCTCCTTTATGCGACGTGGTCATGACTGGATTCGAAACTACCGTAACACTCGGTGGTGGCGGGGTGAAGGAAGGACAGGGGTATGGGGTTTAGGGCTTAGCGTTCAGGGTAAGGGATCTGTAGAGATCCAGAACCCACATTGGAATTCCCGTGCCAACGTTCCAGCACCATAGCCCACACACCGAGACCGCCAGCGCAAACACGATGAGTCGAACACCCATGGAAAGTCCGATTCCACCGCCCCGAAACGCAACTCAAACAGTCGAATACGTCTGTCCTCGATGATGGCATTGGCTTGCTTGAACTCTGTCATCCTGGCGCAAGAGGCAGCTGCACTGGGATGATTCTGGGACTTGGTAACTAGGGTAATGAAAAATGCTAAGTATAGCGATCACTACTTATAGCCCGAATCAAGCGACAATAGCATTACTTACCAAGACCCCTGATCCTTTCAGTACAACCAGTCTTCTCGCTAACCATGGCTCTTGCAGGTTCGGTCTAGGCACCAGAAACATGTCAACCTCGTAACTTGCCAGTTGTTCGTTTCTGGAAGGGGTCAGGATGACCTGATTCGCAACTGGGGTAGCGTAGCCCCTTTTCTATTCTCAAAACCCTATATACTTACTCAAGAGCACCAGAGATCTGCGCAACCGAAACGTGGCTCGACGAAGCGGCAGGCCCCTCAAAGGTCGTACAGCTTACGAGACATACTGAACCCAGCCAAAAGGGATGTACCGAACGAACTTCAACAGCCCAGCTGTAACCTATGCCCCAAACTCTGCATCCAACCTTACCCCGGAACCCTGCACTTTAAACAACCCTATTGTGCCTGAACATCCCGAAACTCAAGCCATATCAGAAACCCCAACCCTGTCCCCACAACCCTGAACCCCCATCCACAACCCCCAAGAACTCCTGAAACCTTTCACCCTTGATCCTAACATTACAACCTTGATATAGGTCCGGGCCCTGGAATGTTAAAGAAAAGAAGTGGTAGTCAACCACCCTTATAAAGGAATACTATTCCAAGTATGAGCCCCTATATTGCCCCGCTAACCCCAGCTTGCACCCGCAGTCACCCGGCCCTCCAGTCCCAAACCCTGAAACTCAAACCTTACAGCGGGGAACCCAGAAAACAAACACCTAAATCCACCCTAAGCCCTAAACCCTAAACCCACGAGTACGAGTTTAAGACCTTGGGAATAAAGTGCAACACAACAAGAAACTACAGCTCCAGACCCCCAAGCCATGAAGCCCAAATCCTCAACACCCTAAACGCCAAACCCTGATAATGGATCCCTCAAGCCCCCCCTTGTACATAGAACCCTGACCAACGAAACCTCATCTAATCCTAGTATAGTCCTGACAAGAATCCCTGAACCCTAAACCCTAAACCCTAAACCCTAAAATCCTGAACATTTGGGCCTGGTCTGTCGGGTCTTTCGAACCTGCGTCAGTCGATTCTCAGCCTCCATGCGAGAGCGCTGAAGGATTTCTGAGAAGGGGAGGAGGCGGGTGGGGAAGGATAAGAGCTTTCCCGAATTAAGTTTTTGGATCGTTACGGCTTGTAGCGTTTCTGCTCATGCTCTGGCTTTGGCTGGCTTGGCTTAATTATGGTCTTAGTCTAGTGCCTAGGGTTCAGATTGGACGGACTGTATAGGGCTTGATGCGGCCTCGGCTTCCGCAAAGGCTCCAAGCCGTAAAGCTTGAATCCGAAGCCCCGAACTGTGTTTCTACTCAACCTCGCCATCTGCAGGCTCAGTATACAAGTCCGGGGAAAAAACAGATGAAGCAGAACCAGCGACCCACATAATTGTCTTTCAGTTACAGGCTGCTTTTTCATAAAAACCAGAGTGCGGAGGCACCCTGAACTCATGGGGATAATGGGTGCTCTTGGACATGTGTAGACAAGGCAGTGCCTGCATGGCGCAGACTTCGGCAGCTTCCGCTGCCCGCCGCGCCTTGCGTGCTGAAGCGTGCATGGACGAAGCAAACACCCCGGAACACATCATAAGCTTCTGCTGTCGTCTCTTGGCCAGCTTGCCCATGAAAGCATGGCACAGCCGCTGTGGTGTTTACTATGCTTTACTATACTTTGTTCTTATGTATCATCACCGGTGATGATGCGCAATACCGCCGCTAGCACTCTGGCTCGTTTATGCTGTCACTGCTTCCACAACACGGGTACACAAAGACCTGAACATCGAGCAAACTAAACGCTTAAAGCGACAACCCAAAACCCTAACCGAATACTAGAAGCCTCGAAGAGTAGCACGGAAGCCCTTTCGAAGCCAGGACCCATCACAAACCAACATACCAAGCACAACGTCTTCGGGCCATCGCAGTGGCACCTCCTCGATTTCCTCTTCACTCGCATTCTGCTGGAACAATGCCTGTGCTCGAGGCCCACCGCGGCTTTAAGGGTTTACGGTGCTTGGGTTCAAGATATGCGGCTGTATAAAAATGATTACGAAGTTGGGCAATTGGGCTGAGGGCTGATGATGCTGGGGTTCGTCATCTTGTTACTTAAGGCTTGGACCGGGGGCACAAGCTTAAACACTCAAGCTTACAGTCGTATAAGGATCAGTTCGAGCAGTCTCGTGGTTGTGGCGGTGCACGTGGCCGCAGAAACAACACGACCGAACATCCTAAATGTTCTCTTGCGTTCTGCACTTGGGTACAGTAATTCATTGCCATTTGAGGCACGGGAGCGTCAGGTGCAGAACATCTCAGCCCCAAATCTCTGGCAATGAACCGTCAACCGACTGCAGCCATTCATCCCCAAAGCTTTTCGTCATTCCACCAAGACCAAGCCGTAATGATAATCACCATGATTATGATGATGATGATGATGACCACCATCATTATACCATCATTACCATCATGTGTGCGTGTGTGGTCGACCCCAGGGTGCGCTCGGCCCTGTTACAACACAGCGGCCCCTCCGGCCCGAAGGCTTAAGGGGCCAACAACGGCCCCCTCATCCACGCTTGATGCATCACCCAACTCTCCGCGGGCCCGCCCCCCCAACCAGAAAGAGCAAGATATATGTACTCAATCCGGCGGGTTGGATGGAACACTTGGCAAGACAGCCCACATCATTGACCCAAAGCTTTTCTCCTGGCGATCCCTCGCCAGGATACTAAGCAAGAGATGCAAGCACGGAGACAGGAGCTATCTCGTTACTTTAGAGCCCACCACACTCACGCACATCACGCACCGGCAGCACGTAAGGGGCCACCTCCGCCAAATGGCACAAGAGGCCATCCCCTCAAGCTGCACACGTCACGAAAGGTGAGCACCCAAAGCTTTGGGCGCCCCCCTGGACAAAGGGCGCCATCATTACCATCATTACCATCATACCATCATTGCTATCACCATCATCATCATCATCATCATGATCATCATCATTACCATCAAGACCATAACCATGTCCGATGATGATGACGATGATGACGATGATGGCGGTGATGATGATGATGATGATGATGATGTTGATGATGAAAATGACCACATTGCTGATAACATATAAAACAAGCGTGTCTGGAAAGGCTGCTGCTGCCGCCTTTGTCAGGGTTCCACGCCATATCGCTGCGTAGTGGCCACTGATACGAGCCCTCGACAATGAGCTATCGATACCGCCATCGCCATTGTCTTATCACGTATGTTCAGTTGTATAATTGTTACCATCACTCACAGAACCGATGCATGAAGGTTCTTCCATCAATGAATCCCCCCTGAACTCCTAAACCCTAAACCCTAAACCCTAACCCTAAACCCTAAACCCTAAGCCCCTGAACCCAACACCCGAAACTGCAAATTCCAAGACCCCAGGACATTGAAGCCCCTTTGAGGTCGCTTGCAGCCCAACTGCCGCATGTGCGGCTGCTGCCCTCTCAGCCTCCTCTCTGTAGCGCTGGGCCTTCTGTCGAGGAGGGTGCAGGCTTGAGGGTTTGCTTTTATACCTTAAACTAGCACGACCTATGTCTCTGTACGATCTCACGAAATTGTTCCCACATTAGGATGTCCAAGAAAAAGCTACAAATACGGTTCGAGAGTTAGGGCTAAGGGAGTCGGCTTCGGCCTTTGGTTTAGGGCTTCCGTAATTCAAGCCATGGAGTGTAGGCTCTCGGTCTTTTGGCTTGAGAGTTTACGGTTTCGAGAACGTATAAGGTTATAAATGCGTATAAAACTTGAAGAGCTTTTCAAGCTCTTGAGTTATAAGAGCTTTAGCTATAAAGAGCTAGGTAGGGTTTGGGCGTTGAGTAAACAGGCTTCATGAGCAAATCTTGTTTAGTTTGGGAGGGCATAAAGGGCCAAGGACAGTGAATGATTTCTGTCTGAAACCTGCGTTGAGCACTGGGGCACGAAAACATCAAGTTCTTGAGAGGGTGGTTGTAGCTGCCAGACTCAGATTCGATCGGCTGAAGGTATTCGCGTATTTCACACTTCGGACGATTTGCTCCCGCAACAACGACAACTCAGGGAGCAATGACCGGAGCGAGCCGGAATGACTTGGTCTTTCACAAGCGTTCGGTGCTGCACATATATTACCCATGAGGGTAGCTGCCTGTACCATCACGGAGGCAGGGTGATCATCTGGCTGGCATTGGAGTTTTGCCGACGTTGTGATTGCTGTTTCCAAGACAACCGGGCCACCGGGCTTGCCATCCCAGCTGCGATGGCGGTAATGCACGCTATAAGTTGACGCCAGAGTCGCAACCAATGACTTTCCGCAGCCAAAGCAAAGTCTGCATACGTTTTGCTATAGGGGGCCTAATCGTGAAAACAGGTTTGGGGATTCACTTTAACACAGTCATAGAGGGACTTTCCGAGAACAGGGCTCCTACTTATTCAGACCTCGCAAAAACCCTCATTAACCACTTGTTCCACAACACAAAAAGCCTGGCTCAACTGCTACAGCATCAGCTGAGAATCCTGACAAGAAAAGGCCTGTGAAACCATGAAGCAACTCTACCTCTCCGATAAAGGCTAGTTAAACCTTGCTAAAGCCCCTCTAAGCCCCTATGAGCACCGCTGTAGTAATATTAATATGATAGAAGGGTCTTCATGTTCTGCCAAGGCCCCCACCTGGGATCCCTAACAACCTAGGAAAAAAGGGCTCTCTTGTTGGTATAGAGTAGTTTTCGGAGGAACCTAAGACTACAAAAAAAGGACAAAGGATCCACTACGAGACATGGATGTAGACTTTCCCGAACCCCCCAGGTACCTTCTATATAGGGCCCTAGGGGCTCTAGCACCCTATATAGTAGGTACCTGGGATGTAGACTTTGCTAAGTCGAAGCTTCATTCC